TAATACTGAGGGACCTTATATATGAATGCTTAGATAGGTGTCGTATTCCCATAGGTTGATGGGGATCAGCTGAGAGTCAGCTAATGCGAGCTTGACTAACGTGACCTGCCAGAACTAACGCTACGCTAGATTTATATGACTCTCCACAGTACTTAATTCTGATTGGTCAGATCATTTGGCATAATGACCACTTAAAGACCCCCTGTGGTAAAAATCAAGTTTGCAAATTCAAAACCTTTGCTGTGCATTTTCTCCTTAAATCTGCAGTATACCAAAGACAGTCTCCAAAACGCGGCTTGAAACAGTCCGTTTCCTACCATCACAAACATGTAACCAATCCCGTCAACTCACGGGGGCGGGGCTTTTCATATCATTAGCTTTCTTATGTGTCATTTTCCAGTTTCTTCTCACATACTAAAAGTATAACTCTAATCATTATTTTGAGTCCATTTATTAATTAATGTGTTGTGATAAGTGGGATAATGCACAATCTGAATATATTTAAAATGAATGTCCATCACATTAAATGCACGGTAATATTAAACGTGACTGAATGAATTTCTGTGTTTTTACTCCCAGACAACGGACAATTCAACCGAAGATACAAACAACTTGACAACCATACAACCCATCGACAAAGAGAACAGCATTGATCACGTAAGCTGTCTGTCTGTTCATCTATCTTGCGGTCTAATTGTTTCTCAAAAACCTGGTATTTATCTTGCTCAGCCAGACGCTGCCACAACCAAAACCCTTTTATTTGCACACATCTTCTCAGAGACGTCAGGAGGAATAGTGTTCGGGAAGAGGAATACTCTTCCTCAGCTTTAATTTCCCGTCTGACTGAAATAAGGCTGTCTGCTGTGTATTGACCTGCTCTTTTAGATGGCAGGGTTCTGGATCTGAGGTGACAGTTCAGCTGACAAGGCAAGATAACGCCAGATAATCGACGGATCTCGTCTACGGCTCGTCTTTACAGATGCATTTGACGTCTTAAATCCTCTAATTCCAGTCGTCCAGGAAGCTCGGACAAAGAAACCAAAAGCACAAGCCAGTTTGTAGTTTATTGAGCAGTTTATTGAACCTTCAGATAAAATGTAAACAATATTCTCAAAAAAGTTTGCATGTTTTTTGTTGAGTATCATATTTTATATTTTAAGGCTCATATAGTATGGTATAGGAGAATATGGAGCTCATACTCGAGAAGGAAACAATAACTCATTTTTATTTAGAGGACTAAACTGCGCAAAAATTATGCAATTTGGTGCAGTTACTGATATTTACAGTAGCTTGCTTCAGTCCTGTAAGTGAAATAATACTAACAATATAAAAATTATTCTTATGTTTACTTTATACAAATCATTTAAGATTTCACAGTAAAAAGACTTGTTTGCCATAACCAATCAATTAGATGGTTTTCCAGCAAAAGTTTAACGTTGATAATTTAGAGGCATGAGAAATTTGCATATCAAAAGATTTTACGACATTGCATATTAAAGGCTTTATAGGGTTAAAATATCTTATGTACTCATCTGAGTGATCTGTAAATGACCATAAATTTATAAACCTTATAAATTAAATCAGAAGTGAGAATTATTTTCATGATCCCAAAAAGCACTGTTTTCCATCCTGTATTGATGTATTTCCTGTTGAAACAGGAAGTTCCAGAGGCTCATCCTCCCATTTTAAAATTGCTATTATAAAACAGATAGTTCCAGTCCTTGATTCTGATTGGTTGAGCCAAGTTCAAAGCTGTTGTAAATTACTCTACAAACATACACCTTTGTTTACATTGGTGTGTTGCTCGGCAACCACTTTGTTGGAACCACAACCGTTTCTGAGGAACTACATTGTTTGGCGGAAGAATTATGTTTTTATTAATATCATTACACTTTATTTGCTCTGTTTTATTTTGTGAAACCTTACTACGTAGGCTATATGGAATAACCGTTTTATAAAAGCAATAAGCCCCGTGAAGCCGTGGTTTACAGTGAATTTATAACAGCTAAGGG